GGGTTTTCTTAATGCAGCTGTAATTCAGCAAAGATTTCATTTTTCTGTGTGTCATATTGCAATTCCTAATCAGACCTCCTTTGCCCAAGCCACCAAGTCTATCAATCTGCCAGAAACTCTGAGTCACCCAGGATTTTAAGCACATAAGTTGTGCCACAGAACTCCATCCGAGGGCTCACAATCCCTACAGTGTCTGCATGCATCAGCTGGATTGAGGCCAGAATGGGGAGCAGAGTCGCCTCTGAGCTGCTATAAAGCCCAGCGTTGAGTCCTACTACAGGAAAACATCTTCTATTTCTAACATTTGATACCATCTCAAAGATTATTTCTCTTTACGCTCCCTCTTCCTTAGAAGTAAGAAGGATGTGATATGTAGGAGTGGAAAAGAAACAGGGTTGTGAGTGGAGACAGCGGAGGCTAATTTCCAGACTTCCCAAGACTTCAGAGTAGAGGCTGACTAACACAAATGCTGAAGCAGAGTTTTGGCAGAACATACATCTGGGATGGGCCAACCCTGATAAAGTACACCACCCCAGAAAATAACCTTACAGTGCTGAAGTAATTAGAAAAGCACTAAGCAGAGCCATCAATAGCAAACAATTCCGGCTGCACTGAGATCAAAGCCAAGTCTAGCCATGATGATAACTTCTCAAGCATTAGTCCTAACATAATGCAATTACAGGTTTTAGAATAAGACCTTAGTCCTCCAGCAAAAAGCTGAGAAACCCTGTGCTGTATATATATGCAGCCCAACAGATACATTTTGACAGTATGAACGGCATGGCATTGAGAGGAACTTCCCAGTGGGATTTTCACATTTGGGCTGTAAATTCTACTGGTGAATTAACACATTGCTATTAACATTGATGAAAAATCAAGTGCTAACAGGGATCTCTGTGTGGGGGACAAGTCAGTTAATTCTCTGTGGAACCATGCAGGTCTGTGGTTGGTTTTGCATGTTAGAAGACTGGTTTATTTTGCCTCTCATCATCATTGAACCTACATCTTCTATTTGAAGTCAATTGCCAATAGATTCATTAAGAGAAGTTATTTGCACCTGTAAGGAACTGATTTTCAAAGAATGCAAACATTTAAAAGTTCAACAAAGCTGTTTCCTGTAATATGACTGATGTTATGTTCACTTTAATATATAGGTATTTAAAATGCATCTTTTAAAAATTTATTTCCTTTTTACATTTTAAGTTTTTATTAAAAAATAAGATGAAGCAAACACTAGAATACTGCTGATATATCAAAGAAAATTGAAGTACAACTAAAGTCCCTGGAAACTCATTTTACACCAGAAAATATCTCCACTCCCAGAAAAGCCTATCAGTCTTCAAAGTGATTTGTAACAAGTGCACTTTCATGTCAATAAAAATAGTAAAAAATGGCTTCTCCTGTTTGAATTGCTCCCTAATTCACTATGAATCAGCTCCATTCAACAGTTTAGAAACTCTCAATTTAACAATTGAAGTGAGCAGGAAACACTAAAATAGACTGGTACCTGTAATTTGCCACACAAATGTGTGTGACCGCTCCTTGGGCAAGGAGCAGAAGTTCAGGTATGAGGCCCAGCAATCTGTTTTAACACCTAAAAGCAAAACAGGCCCCCGAAAGAGGTGGTGTGTGCATTAGGTCACCCACTGAAATCTGACTGTTGAAGAATGTGAAATACAAAGTTATTAAAATATAGATACATGTTCTATATTACCTTTCTTATAAGCTGTTCTTAACATTTTCAATGAGAACAAAAGAAAAGGTGTCATACAAGTTTGCAGTAATAATAAAATATTATTGTAGTCATAATAATAGCAATGATAACAGCACCTTTCTTCATTTCCACAAAGACAAAATTAGGAAAATATATTAACTGGACAAGTCTGCAGAAAGAGAGAGAATGGAGTCTAAGAAACATACAAAGGGACAATATTAAATAGCAAGGGCACCCTCAGATGAAGCCATTCATTTCTGATGTGGAATAAAACAAAACTACTGCATGCTAGATAGACTTCCCTCCTAAAAGTTTGTCAATAACTTACGTAGACTTAATGTGAAATGTTCAGGGGAGTCTATGTTGTGGTTTAAGCTAAAGAGATTTTCTTTTCCTAATGCCTTACATACTAGTAGCTAATATCAATATTGAAATTTAGTCCTGATTTAATATTTACCTTATATGTTACAAATGAAGGTGCTATTATATGGGATAATTTTATTAAACACACACTTTGATGTAAACTCTCCATTTTCCATAACATATTTTTTGAAATAAAAACAAGACCCAGGCCAAATACTCCCATGCCTAATTAGATTGTCAGGATGTTTACATTTTGCTTTCTCTCTGTCCTAGTGAAGTTAACCTGTACAAAGCAGGGCAGCAATAGGAATTAAGAGTAAGGTCACAGACATGCATGAGCATAGCATGCTACTCTGATGAATAAGGGAATTTTCTTTCACACATGAGAAATGCATGTTCAGATTCCTTCTGGGCATTTGAAGGGATTCAGTCTGTGTCTTTCAGCTCTTAAGGTCGCTCCATGTTAAAACCCATCTCAACAAAGTCCAAGGACTTGTTTATCCAGTTCTGTCTTATGTCTCAACATCAGCCTGCATCCGTTATTCAGGGAGAAAAGAGAAGATGCCTATTTTTGAGAGCACTTTAAGCCTCTAAACTGCTCAACTGTTTCAAGGATTTAGGTGGTTGCATACATATGCAATGATTCAGATGAACCTGCCTACAGAGCTAGGTAGAGTTGGCTACAAACACCAGGCACTGGAAGATGCTTGGCTTAGGAGAGCATGAGTACCATCTCTTTATACAATGCTATACGCTATCACTGTGCATCACCAATACTGAAAAAAAAGTAGCCATCTTTGATAAGGTGTTCGTTGATCGTGCCTTTCCTGATAGGAATGCAAAGGATGGAGCAAGACCATCCCTTCCAAAGGGGTTACACTATGCCAGTTTTTTAAACCTGAATTTGTTCAAGCATTCCTGCTAAGATTTAGAAAGCTACCTGGGACTGTAGTCTAGAGAGGGTTTAGGGGAGTCACATCCCCTCACTGGTCTGGGAAATGACTGCCCTTCCTAGCAGAGTGACTCAAGCTGGATTCAAAGGCCAGTGGTAACAGGTGTTTAGTCTCAGGGCACATGAAGAGCTACCATGGTACATTTACTGAGATGTTCTTCCCTTTTCTGTGCCAAGGAGTGAGCCAGTATCATTTAAGCTTAATTGGCAAACCTACAACACCTCCATGGGTCCTGTCCAGGCCTTGACAACTGCAATTCAGCACAGTAATGCATTTAGCATCCCAGCTGTGTGCTTTGTGCCACGACCAAAAGGGCAGAGATTTGCAGAAGGGAACCTTGCCACCCTGACGGACAAATACTGAGTGGGGTTTTGGGGTGGGGCGTTCTATTTTTACAGCTCTCCTGGGAAAATTGTCCAGCTTCCACCCTAGTTCACCTCTCTGAATAGACCTCGGGGAACTCTCTGCTGCTAAGCAACAGCAAGCTCTCCATATGTGCAGGAATGGCATCTTTCCCTGCTGGTCTCAGCTCTAACAAATACCTTCCCCAGGCACAAACAGCACCACAGCCATGTTCTCTCATTGCAGCAGCCAGTGGCTTTAGCCTTCAAGGGCAGTGCGATCATTGTACGAAGGGCACTATTCATGCTGTGCATACTTCAGTTCCTCACTGTCTCTTTGATGTCTAGAGAATGGTTGTAGGCCAGAAATGGGGAATGTTTTGAGAAGGGCTGGGCTTGATGCAAAAATGGAGTCCTGAGTAGAAATAGGCAGAAATGATTGCTAGAGAAAAGGGAGACAGAGGCCGAACGGAAGCGATTTCTGTTCCTGTTCTGAGCTCATGCTCTAGTAAGGTGGCTTTCTCTCTCCAGGGCACTGATACTCGGCAGGACGGAGCAGATCATGCTGCCCTGTCACTGGCACAGCAGAGCGTGGCCGCTGAGCAGCTGGGCGGGTTCAGGACCCTGGACAGAGGCAGGCGGCGGCGGCCCTGCCCGGTGAGGGGTTGGGGGCTGCTGTTTGGGGCCGTTTTAACTTGAGGGGTGCAGGTTGTAAGTAACCAACCTCTTCCCCGGGATACTCCGGCACTATGGCCAGCCCTGAGCACCACGGGGAACCGTGTCGGTACGAGAAGTCTCCTCCAGTCCTCTCCTGAGGGGCCGGTTTAGGAAAGTTAAGATCGGAGAGCGTGACTGCGGCGGAGCGAGGAGCAGCCCCGAGCACAGAGGCGCCGATCGGCCGGGGGGGGGGGGGGGGGTCGGAATAGCACCGCTGCGGAGGGGCTCCGCTCGGGGCTGGGCTGTGCAGGGCTCCCGCCTCCCCCGGTAACGCTTATTTTGTGTTTCTCTCTCTCTTCCCCCCCGCCCCGTCACCCCGCTTCCACACCTCCCCGCACGCCGCAGACTCCGAGGCCTGCCGGGCCCCTCGCCCCGCTGTCAGCTCTGCTCTCCAGCCCCTTTCTGCGGCCGCAGCTCGCCTCCCGCCGGCCCTGCACGCGCTTCATCTCGGCGCCCCGTCGAGACGCCACGGGGCCCAGCTTCGGCCCCACGGGCTTGGCGGCTCTGCTGGCCGGCACCGAGGCTGCCGCCCGCTGCCCGCTCGCCGCCCTGCTGCGGGGCCGCTGGGCTGAGCAGCCGCCGGCCCCGGCGCCGCCGCCGCCCAGGCGCCTCTCCCCGGAGCGCCGGAGATGCCCAGCGTGCCACGGAGCCGAGCCGCCGCAGCCCCGCGCTGCCCCCGAGCCCCCCGGCGCCGTGAGTACCGCTCGTGGGGCCGCGTCCGCCCCTTCCTCCTCCTCCTCTTCCTATTCCCCACACCGGGAAAGCCGCTCCCGCCCACGTGCCCCCAGCCGACACCGGCGTGGGAGCCTCCAACGCTCCACGGGCAAAGCCCGCTGCTTCCCATTTCTACATCCTCCCCAAAACGCTCCCCGAAGCCAGCTGCTCCAGCAAGGCATCTCCTGAGGCCGCGCTGCTCCACAGCCGGTGCACAGGCGGGAAGGGAGCAACCCCGAAGGCAGGGCTACCCGACAGTCATCCCGAGAAGGCGCAAAGCGTTCGTGCAGCCGGACGGTCTCGGTTTCACGGGAAGACCGTGTCGCTCTGCCTGAGGACGGCGGTGACCCAAGCCAGCAGCGGCCGTCCCGTAACACTTATCCCGCCGAAGGGCGCGCTGCGCCCTCCCAGTAGACCGGGTTTGGGTCTGCCCGAGGGGCCGCGGTGGCGGGGCGTTATAGGTGAATAGTCCCCAAAATGTGGCGGTGTCGGTAAGGGCGCTGCAGAGACGACCACCCGGAGAAGCAGGGCTAGAGCCGGCCCCGACAGCCCCTGCCCGGGGCACACTTCTTCCAGGGGCTACCGTGGCCGGGGTGCATCTGCTCCGCTAAACCGGGAGAGCTAGACCGAGAGAGCCCTTCGGCGACGAGCTGTGCGCCCAAGGAAGTCAAGAGACGGCTGGGGGAGAGGGAGGATGCGTCCTGCAGTTACTTAAAATGCAAGCGTGCTCCAATCCCGGGTTTATAAGCACGACTCCTATTCTTTAAGGCATCTATGTACATTAAAACACGAGCACCGAGCCCCGCGGCGGCATCGCCGCCTCTGCAAGCCCTTCCCACCACCTCCCCTGCGCGCACACACACTCACACGCTCTCACGCTGGTTTCTCCGGCATTCCCCCCCGCCGGCGCCGGCCCCATGGCTCCCCCCGCGCCCTCCCCACGCCGCCGGCGCCGTGCCGCCGCTGCGGCCGCTACTCCCGTTGCAAACGGCCCCTGAAAAGCAGCACTGCCCTGTGCTCGCCTCCCCGGGGACGGCCCGGCCGCAGCTCGCCCCGTCGTGCCTGGCCCGGAGGGGAGGGAGCGCGGGCTGCCGCCCTCGCTGTCCCCGGCTCCGGCCACGGCCAGCGAAGCCCATCCGCATCCTCGGCCAGCGTCGTGAGACGAACCCGCGAGGGCCGGGCGCATGCGCGGGGCTGGCGAGCAGCCGTCCCCGGGCGACCAGCCCGCTGCTACCGGAGGGGAAGCGGGCGAGGAATCCCGGGGGGGCCCCGCCGCCGACACCGTAAGTACCGCTCGGTCTCGCCCGGCGGCCGCCGGGCACCTCGGCACCGCGCCCCGGGCAACTGCGGGCTCTTTGCCGGCAGCCGCGACCCCCGTGCTGCAGCTGGTGCCGCCCCGGGTGTAGCGGGACGGGACGGGAGGCGCTGCCGACGGCGCCCTACCCGGCAGCAAGCGGAGGGACCGGGCGCCAAAGGCGCTTCCTCTGGTCTCCCGGAGCGTCGGCAGCGCTGGGGCTCGCACCGCCCCGTCCTTCCCCACCGGCTCCCGGCGCCGCTCTCCCCGGGTTCCCAGCGTGTGACACCCCGCCACCTCGGCCCCGGGAGGGAGAGCAAGACGCTCCCCCCGGGCTTGGCCCTGCCGCCTCTCCCCGGGGCGGGATCGTGCCCCGCTCCGCGCCGCCTCCGTCGACCCAGCGCTCGGGTCGATCGCTCTCTCCCGCCGTGCACCCAGGGGCCCTTCTTCCTCTTCTCACGAGTGCGGATGAAAGCAAGGCAGCATCCATCACCCCTCACCCACTTCCGTGAGGGGAGTCCCGCGGTGCGGCCGTTGTTGGAGCCTTCCCCCACCAAGTTAGGGAGATGAGCAGCAATAAGGAGAGTTCCCATATAGACTCTCCAGTATAAGCCTGCCACATCATGTGTCCTCGGGTGAGAAAAAGAGCTCTTTCCGAGATTCGTCATCGGCAGGTAATGAGAATTGGACACAACTGCAGAAAGTGAAATAAGATTATCCTTGTACATGCCAGTACGAGTTACAGTAGTTTAATACTGATGTAATTTACTTGATGTGCCCGTTCCATTATTTCATGTTTGCTGCTGAAAAATATAAGACCAAACTTTCCATTAAGTGCTGCCAGTACGACATGAGGGTGAGGAGTCTCCTCGTACCTTTGTGCCCATTGCACAAATGAACATCAGCATCAGGCCCAACGCTCTGCGGAGGTGCATACTGTGGTGCCAGTGGCACCGTTGCTGGACTACGGGACCAAAACCAGTAACCATGAGTTCAGCTACACAGAGCACCAAAATTACTATCAGCTAGGAGTCGTACTTGTGCTCAGGTTAAAATTAGGAGCGTCCTTCTAAACTAAGGGCATGTTCAACTCAACTGACTATAAAACTAGCACTGTGATTTGTAAAATGCTTTAAGATGTGAGAACAGCTACTTTATTTCCCGTTTAATTTATTATTTACTTCCCTCCCCATCATTACTTCTTCTAGTAGCATTGCTCTGGATCACAAATAGTTAATCATGGAAGCATCCCCTCGGCTGTTACACACCTCTTGAAAGGAACAGTTTGAATTTCACAGAGTAGTAGGGTTCAGCTTAAAGTACCACAAAGGAGTTGTCAGAGTACAAGGTTTCTGTGCTTCTTGGAGCCCAGGTCTCAAGGTGATGAAACTGAAGTGCAGACAACTACAAAGGCTCAGCCAGTTACCAAAATTCATCCCATCTTTTTTTCATCACTAGGAGAAGTTATCCCAAGGAGGAAGCAGGTCTTGGAAACACCGCAGAGATCTCCTGGTGTTCAGAAACAAGAGCATTCTTGGCTAGAGGTTCATGGCTTTGAACTTTGTAGGCATCTTTTAAGATCTGTCATAGCCAGGTGAAGCAAAGCAGCCCAGGAAGTGTCATGACCCAAACAACAGCGTGCTAAGTCAAATCCAGCTTTCAGTTGGGTCTGGTAATACTCCTCCTGGCTGACGTTGTACCATTTGGCACTACAGCTGAGCTTGCAAGGCAGAGGGTTGCTACCGCAGAGCATCCCCTGCCCAAGCAGCCAGATGCTAGTGTAGTACAATCCGAAGTGAATCGCAACAATAAGAATCAATAGGAAAGGGTACATGAATCACTACTTAATGCACCCCAGGGTGAGTCATCCCGATTCTAACCATCTTTCAGCCCAGTACAGTGTCAGTCAGCTCCTCACACAGTTCGATGTGAGTCAGATCTCGGCACCGAGTACAACATGAAATGAGTCACCAGCTAATACGGCACCATGTGACTCCCATACCCAGTGCGAGCTGTCAGAGCTTCTGTGTGATATGAGTCACTTCATAGTACAGTAAAATGGGCTTTTTGGAGACCATTCATAATTGAGCACAATGCAACCAAGCGCTCAGGAGGAGATGATGGGAGTGAGCAGAGCAATCTGCTCTGTGCACCGGTTTCACTGTTTGCATAGTGAAGAGGTTTGTAAAATATTAGGATGAATGAATGAATGATTTTTTTTTAAAGCAAGCTGCATAAAAATAACTGGAAGCAGATACTTCCTCTGACATTAAAGGCAGCCAGAGCAGGGCTGAAGCAGCAGTAAAACTCCCAACACTGGAGAAGGGCAGGGTTTTTTTGCTTGTTTTTGCTTCCAAGAGAGCTGATTAGCCAGTGTGAACTGACATACATCCACTGAGGCTGACTCCAGCTGCCACGGAAGACAAGGGCTGCCAACAGCCTGGGCTATGCAGAGCAGGACCTGACACTGGTGTAACTTAACTGCAGTTCACAACCTGGTTTATGAAGGGACTCAGCACGCAGCAAAGTTACACCCATGTTTGTGTTCGTTCTGCTCCACTATTGCAGTACCCACAGATGGCTGGACCAGGTTACTTTCTATCCAACTGGTGGAAAGCTTCCCATGTCTTTCCCATGAAAGAAACAATGACAGAGAGTGACCCTCCTGATTGCATGTTAGAGTAATATCTTCAGTGAAGTGTCATGTGATAAAATCCAAAGCAATACTTTGCAATACTACCAGAGCAGATACAGTGCATCCCTCTAAAAAAATAGGCAAAAATACTGAAACTCTGAGTAACCACATTTCTTGACATGAAAGCAGATTTTACTCAGAAAAATACTTCAGTGTAGGAAGTTTTCTGCAGACAGTGGGCTGATCTGGTGGCCAAATGTGCAGCACTGAATACCAGAGAAAAAGGAGTAGAAAATGCCTAAGTTCTTGGTAAGAAGAAGACCTCAGTTACAGGTGACATGATCAAGGTACCATTACCGGTTACTATGTGGGTGTGAGAAGCTTTCAGCCATTCCTTTTGAAATGTAAAGCAATGCTTTAATATGGATAAATGAACACAGCTCTTTCCAGCTACTGCTCCTCTGGAAAAATAAATTAAGTAACCAGGTAAAGGCACTCAGTTTCTGGACATTTTACATAAAAGCATCCCAGAATTGTTATTTAAGCTCATAGAATTTATCTATGCCATTTTATCCACTTAAGCCTTTGACAGACTTGGGTGCAACAAGGATATGAGAAGCTGTTTAATTTTGTGTGGCTGGCAGTCTCCTCTCTGGTAACCTCTGTCATGCATTCACAAAGCCTCAACCATTTCAGTCACCCCACTATGATATGCCAAAAAAAATCACTTTCAAAGAGCTCTTGCTCTTAACTCCCTAAGTGGGCAATCCGATAACTATGCCTAAAGCCTGTGCATATGTGTGGGTGAGATCATTAACATCTATTATAATTCTTCTCTATCTAAAATAGTGCACTGCTTGATGCAGAAAGCCTGTGTGTCAGATTTGTCAATGAAGAGGAAGAAGCATGAACATGGAGCTTCCTGTTCATATTTCAGTTGACAGTAAACTACCACAGGCTTCAGTGAGAGTATGCTGAGCAGCCCCCAATATTTCTAAATTAACAGAATACAGATTCAGAGACTTACTTAGGGCTTGCCCCCAGTTTCAAGCCTCTTATGACATTAGCAGATATGGACAGAATCTCTTTTTTCCAGCTCACTGGTTATCATTATTGGGGGGATCTGAAGAGAGAGCAGCAATGGCCAGAGTTCCGTACCCTCACCTAATGCTTGCTAAAGCCAACAGGTGGTTTTTCTTCTTTCATGCAGTTTGGATCAGGCCTCAGTTATTGACTGAAAAGTAGCCCGGCTGTGATGACCCCCATCTGGGCACTCACTACCACAGGGCTTCACAAGCTGTGTAGTTCCTGTGAAAGCCCCATGCTGGGGCTGACAAGTTAAGGCTTGTCCACCTGCCCGAGTGTAATGCGTGCAAGGAGGAAACATTATGCCTAAGGAATTATATTTAATAGAATCTCTGCACTTTAAGCTGAGAAAATGTCATTGTGCTTTAGCATAAAAAGAGGATAAAAGTACAAAATCCATTGTCTACAATCTTCTGTGTATCTTTTGTTTGGGGTTTATTTGGTTGGGGTTTTGTTTTGGTTTTAAATTTGACATTTGCGGCTTAGATTTTAAACATTCCTCCTTTGAAGACTATTTGCTTGGTAGCCCACCTTTTCTACCGAGACATTAGCAAATACTACAAGTGTTACAACTAAGTTAAATATAATTTGAAGTGCTTTTAGCCAGGGAAACAGTTTCTGTTCCTGACCTTCACACTCCTTTGCATTTATCAGGTTACATACAGAACTGCCTCATGATCTGAATGTCAGACAGGCATGCCTTGGAGTGGAAAAGGCACAACAGACATATGTATTCCAGTACATCAACATTACTCTTAAGGCATACCATAGTTTTTCCACTGTTATCAAAAGTAGCTTTTCCGGATGCTTGCTTAAACCCCTGGGTTTCTGGGTTTTTTTTAACTACCCATCAGCATTCAGTACTAAGAGCTTGTACTTTATATCTGAATCATAGATGCTAATAGCTGGATAAGAAGCAAGAACATGTGTCATTATTTTTCCTCTATTTTTGGTTTATTGCTTTTTAGGGACATATTTATAATGGACTAAATTTGTTATCATTATATAGAGAAGGACCTCGCTCTCCCTGAGACACGCAGAAACTGCACCAGGCATTTGCATAGATGCTACATTAGATTGACTTGAAACAGTGAACTAACCAGAGATGAGCTGATCAACTCAACTCTTACTTCCCTTTCTCAGTTAAGTATTTGACTAATTTCGACAGTTCTGTGGATTCCTCCAGGCAGGACCCACTGTGCCTAGACAAGTTTAAGTTTCAATATGCTGATTAAGATCCAGAGTGGAGAATATGGCCCTTCCAGAGA